TGGGAACCCACTAGCTACATGAGTTGCATGTTTGCAGCTCTAGGATCTTCACATGTAAGAGAGTCATATTTAAAACAGAAATGTATATACACAAACACACACACATTTTTTACATAGATATAGACATACAGAAACTTTAGCAGACTTCAGGCAACCCTAGGGTTCAACTAAAACTTTTAGATAACAAATGTAAAGTCAAACCCAAATTTTCCACTGCATAAACATTCTGCATGGCTTAATTTAGCTTCACATATCTGACTAAACCCCGTAAAATATTGGCAGCCCCCAGAAATTTACAAGCCGCTAGAGTTTTTGCAATATGGTCTATTGAAACTACGAGCAACTGGGCAACACTTGCTCATGCCTTGCATATGAAAGGTTTGGAAAAGTATGCTGATTTGGTGCATCTCACAGAAACAAAAAGCAGCTTCTGATGATCTGCCTAATCCTAATCTCAAACCAGTGTCTGCTTTCTCCTAGTGTTTCCGTCTCATCTAATCTCTCTCCTTCCTTTGTTCTTTGCATTGGTTAACAAAATGCTTCATTCAGGAAATCCATGACTGTGCCTATTACCAATAAACTACGATGCCCCGGACCATGAACAAATGTCACTGTGATATTTCCCAGCTCCATTTGAAGAAAATGCCTCAAGTTTGTCTAATTAAGTTATTTTTCTGCATTGTTGCCTTGCAAGATGATGCTGTCTTGGACACTGAGGCATTAGCCTTAGTGAACTGAAAAGGGGAACTCTTTCTAAAGTAAGGTTAATGCAAAAACTGAATGCAAGAGCTTTGGCTCCTAACATTTCTGTTTGTAAAATAGAAAAAGAACTTTGCTGTTAAACTGTTCTCTCAGACAAGTGTGAGCTTTCAGCTGTGCTCCTCCAGAAGTTCAAATCAATCTATGGTCCAAAGCAGCCTTTCCTTTTATAAAAGCTGGTCCCACTCCGCATTAGTTTACAAATGAAATGAGCCTGACAGGCTTAAGTTCATCTTCAGGGAACACTTGTGCATATGCAGCTCCAAGCCTCAATTGGACGTGACTGGTGGTGCCCATTCAAGGGAGACCCTGAACTGATGCAATCAGCAGGTTTCTCAGTGATGTTGGAGGTGTGCTACACAGACCTAGAGAGAGCAAGCCTCCAAAACCTCTTTCTGCACTGTTATAGCTTCTAAATGGGAAAAGAATTTAAAGTCGATGACCCAGTTTATTTCTTATAATAGTGTGTATGCCAGTGGGTAACCTTGCAAAAGACATCAAACAGGCAGAGAGATACAAACTGTGGTGATTTTGGCTGTTTGCACTAAGAGAGGAATGACACAGAGGAAAATGTAGCTTTCCAGCTCTAGAAAGAAAGAGGGGAGAATTTGTATTTCTAGTACTCCCACTCACATCCTTTCTAATTTTGATTTTGGAAAAAAGATGCCCAGGTTAACAGAGCCTATGGCAAAACCAAGTACATCAAAGTTCTGTCCATGGGACATCACACCCAAATTCACTAAACATTGCTGCTTTTGGAACCAGGCTAGTTCCACAGAGGAACATGTGCACTGTGTTAGGGGGCCAGCTCAGGTCAGCACTAGCTTGGGAAATTTTATATCAAGCAAAAAGGTCCTCAGTCTCCAGTCTCTACTTGCTCTGCATTACGAGTATTTTTGATTCTGGGTTTGTCTGTGTTTCTCTGTCTATGAGATATCAACTTATATTGCAGCAGTCATGACAGTGGAAACATCAGAAAAATCAAATATTGGAAAAAGCTGGGTCATGATAGATCTCCCCATCATTTACTTATCTGAGTTAAAAATACATCAGAAAAAAAAAATTAAGCTAAAATCCATTGATTTTATATACCTGTTAACTAAACAATAATACAGTCACTAAGTTTCCTCCTGATCTCTAATAAAAGTTTGTTATATTATGCAGAAAATATGTAGAGTCCATTTAAAAACAAACAAAAGCAAAAAATGTGATAATCTAAATAAACTGTAAATTTCTACTTTTTTTTTGAAAGATTCCTACATATTGATAACTTGGCCTTTTGCTGGTTTTCCAGTTTCCCGTGGAAGACAGAAGATTAAGCAAAGATATTGAATCATTGATATGTATCAAGATATCTCCATATCAATGCATTCATCAGAATGAGAACAATGAAGAATTCTTCCACAGTGATGGAGAAAAAAACCGTACTTGCCCATAATTCTACCCCTGAGAAATTTCCTAACTGTTCTCAAATTTATACAAAAAATAGATTGGCAGCAATCACAGTGTTTAATAGCAAAAGTCCCACATTTACATTTCGAAAGACGTGGTAGACTGTTTGGGAAAATGAGTTTGATGTGGAATCTGAAAATAGGAAAAAATGGCCTTTGGTGAACAAAGTAGTGAGATATTCTACCACACATATAACTGACTGAAAATAAAATGAAAACACTAATTATGGAGATTTATGGAAATTCTGACCTACGGCATGCAGATAGGGGGTCGGCACTGTTTGTGAAAATCCTGAAAATGAACCTACTCTACTGCAACAAAGATTTGACTTTTGGATTTCCTTTTTGATCAGAATCTATTGAAGACATCTCTCACACAGGAACAACCATCATGTGTTTTACTGTCTTCCTTCATTGCCACTGAAGCATTTGTAAGTGTACATCCACTGACAAACTGCCTAATCATCCAAGTCCCTCCCATCTTGTACTTTTAATTCCATATTTGAGAAAATACAGAGATTACAAATACTACCTCCTTAATATTGAAAGTATATTGCCTCATAAGAATATCCTTACCTCTCTGACTTAACTGTTGGCAGGCTACACCACAGAAAAACTGTCCTCAAATAAAGAATTTGTGGTCATCATGAAAAATCATTGTTTCTTTTTTGCCTAGCAATATACATGATTAATAATAATAATAATAATAATAATGATACATTATAAGACAGAAATGCTATGAACTTTAAATAGCTTGTGAAATACACCAGTATGTTCAGATGTGGCATTGCTCTGATAGCTTTGCCTTATAAGTTTTATCTTTCAAGCTGACAATAAAAGTTTTTCTTGAAGAGCTTTTAGAAAGGTAACAGGAATGGATGAGGGCTAGACATTAACCAAACCAGAAACCCAGCTCAATTTTTCCTGAAACCCTTTTTCTGTTTTTCATTGGACGCATATGATTTTTTTTTTCCCGGCTTATGAAGTGAAAAGCTCCCAGGGGACTGGAATCAGTGACATCTATACTGTTTGGGCCTAACATTGAACAAAAGTGCAGTAGATGTCACCACAAAACACATATACATTTGCCCATAAAATCTGAAATGCTTACACACCACAAAAATTGGATTAAAAATCTAGATTGCCCACACCTTCAGTTAGTTCAACAGGATTTCACAGGAGTCAGTACACATGCGATCAGTTTTGTAGAATTACATCGTTTGCAAAGGCTACTCAAAGGACAGCTAGTCCAACCTCCTGCTTAAACCCGTTTCACTTGCAGCAAGTCCCTCAGGGCCTTGTCCAAGTCAAGTTTTTAATTTCTCCAAGGATGGAGATTCTCCACCTCCGAACCATCTTGGTGACCCTCCTCTGGACTTGTTCTAACATATCAGTGCCTTTCTTGTACTGAGGATCCCCAAACTGGACACTATGCCCAGAGCAATCTCACCAATGGCAAACAGAAGGGAATAATCACTTGCCTCAACCTTCTGGCTACACTCTTGCTAACGCCGCCCACGATGCAGCTGACCTTCTTTGCTGCAAAGGCAGATTGCTGACTTGTGTTCAATTTGTCCACCAAGACCTCCAGGGCCTTTTCTGCAAACCCGCCTGTATTGTTGCATGGGGTTACTCCACCCCAGATGCAGGACTTTGCTTTTGCTAAACTTCACGAGGATCCCATCAGCTCATTTCTCCAGCCTCTCAAAGTCCTTCTGAATAGCAGCCCTGCACTCCAGCATCTGTAGCATAGTTATTCCATTTGCATATGTGCTCTGAATCAAGATAGGGGAGATCATATCTAGATTTAACTGCTGCTCTTATTTTCAGAAAACGCCTGACTGTCATAGAGATAAGAGATCTCAAAGGAGCAAAACTTTGCTTTGAAAAGCTGCACTCCCTGCAACAGCCCAAGTAAAATCATCAAGGCTCTCACATGTAATGCCACCTGTACCATAGACAAGGGGCTGCCAGGCTACCTAGCTCCTGTTTCATTTAGAATCAAATTACTGTTGAAAAGTAGGGCTCACTTCAGAAACATGACTGGTAAAAATATATACATAATACATCCTTTTCTCAAGACAATCTCTTGCCTAAGTGGTTTTCTGAATCAGTATATTGGACTGTAAACGTGGAGCTCTTCAAACAGTAGCAACTACAATAGTCTACTTCAAAGTGTAAGTGCAAATGGTCCAAAGAAAATCACACAAAATTAACTGTTTGAACAAATTTCATTACCATACATGATTTTTCCAAGTTTCATTCCCCTGTAAACCAAAGCTAACTCTTGGAAAGATTCTAACCCTCAGAAAGTTGTAATATTCCAACTGAACACTGGTTGCAAAGAAATTGCTGTGTGAAAATATGTCTCATCAAGACTCACTTGGAAACAAGATCCTTGATCACATTATTTTAAGACATTATTTTTCTTGATTGTTAAGAAAGAATTCTTGTCTTCTATTAGGCTACCTGCACAGGCTTACATGCCCACTTCCATTGCCTCATTATCGTTTTGTACTTCTCCATGCTTTTTCATGAGCTATCCCTTCTCATTATCAATTAATTATCATTAACTCTTTGCAGTCACAAGCATTCTTTTGTTGCTCTTATAGTATCTGCCACAGCAGGCATCTCTTCTGGGACTAAAACTTCTTAGTGGTAGCACTACATAAATAGGTACTAACTGCTGCCCTCTGTAACACAAACAGAATGTGTTACCTCTACCAATTCTTTTTGAAGTAACAACACTCTAGCCAGAACGTCCAAGATGGAAGCAAAGCAGAAACTTACCTTCTCTTGATGGTAAGCATTGCTCCCAAGAGGATAATAACAAACATCAGAAGACCAGCTATAACTCCGGCCATTTTCACCGTACTGTCAACTTGTTTTTCTGGTTCCACTGCATTGGAATTCTGGGTGGAAGCTCCTTAAAAGATGGAGGGAGAGGAAGGAGGAGATAAGAAAAGAATTTGTAGAAAAATTGTGCAGTGATCCACTTTAAATATTCATTTGAAAGCCTAACAACATACTTGCAATCAACTTGCAACAGACAATTGTCCATCTAACCAAATCTACCTTTAATAAGGGCTAATAACAGCTAACTCAGAAAAGTAATAGGATGTAAAAACCCAGTGCAACTGACTCTAATATTTTACCATATTATACTGTAACTTACTCTTCTGAAGCACTCAGCATATATCCAGAAGGAGGAGAATTAATAGCAGTTACAATTTTCATCTCAAATAGCTTAAGTGGAGGTGCAATCCTCACTCATTGAAATAACAAATGTAAAAGTTTGCAGTAACATATCCCATAACACTACTTGCAGAAACTTTTTTTCTTCTAAAATCAGAACAGATTTGGATTTCTCACTATACTGGCTTTTGTAAACATATGGTTACAACTATGCACATAACAGGCATTAATCCAACACACGGGCCCCCCCCCCCCGCCCCCCCCCATCATCTAATGTATTCCATGCATGAGTTCTTCAGCAGCCCAGGCAAGACAACATAATTTCTGTTTGAAATTTTTGGGGGTTTAAGAGTAAAGCCTACACATCTAAAAATAAAACATATTTAGGAACATTATTTGCACAGCATTTCTTCTTTTACTTCCTTGTTATGATCTGACTTTAAGGGTCTTTTGCCCCTGCAATAACTGAGGACCTTGCAGAATACTGCCCTCTCCCCTCTTGCTGGGACTACTTGTATGGTGCTTATTATCTGCCTTAGCTCTGCTGACTTCACTACTTGCTGCACAGAATTTTTCTAGATATAGCTTAAACCACTGAGCTTGATTTAGAAAGCCCCACAAGATCTGAGTCGTGGCTACTCTGAAGACTAAATAAGCCTATCTTTATTATAGTCCTGATATACTTAAGTACTCCTAAAAATATCACCATTGCATTTGATGAAGTTAAATGAATTCATGTTACATGAGATCACAATCTTATCTTGGGCTTCACCTTTGCTGTTGGAGTCAGCCAAGTCTTCCTCTACAGCTTAAACACAGTAGAAAAAGGGAATCAAAGGTGAAGAAAGAGTGCTGTCATCACAAGAGCATAATGCTTTGCTCTTTTAACAACTCTATGTTGCTGACCTTCAGGAAAAGCTGAATTGCTTCTGTTCATGAAGTCAGTTGCTTGGGGAGATAATATTCAAATGAGTCCACATGTTGGTAAGCCTCACTGGGTTATTCTTTTTTGCCCATTTGCCACATGGTAAACTGCATATGCTTTAAAAGATCTCTGTCTGCAAGGATGAGTCCCAATGGTTACCATGATCAAATCATGTAACTGGATGTGGGGCTGTCTGATATGTTCTGAATGGGGCCTAGCTGATGGACTTCCAGGGATGAGGATCTGATCTGCAGTAAAGTGTTATATTCTTCTCTCATCATATCTTGAAGAGTACATATAGAACAATGACACAATAAATACAAAACAAGAAAACTCACCACATGCAGTGATAAAAGTATGATTTCACTTTTCCTACAGCTAAGCTGTTAATCTAGTTTGCCACAGCAAAATACAATATTTACCAAGCAAACCTGCTGGCTGTTTGAAACACACATGTAATTTTCAGCTTTTTGTCCACGACAATTCTACTGCTCTGCTGCGTCCACCAATTTTCCCATTCAGTTAAGAGTTCACTGGTAACTTGTGCTCACATGTCTGAAATGCATTACTGGGACTTCCAAGTGTGAAAATAAAATAACATATCAGTTGCATATTACCATCTTTATTTGACAACATCTCTTACAATCTTAGAGCAAATCTGTCCAAGATGTGAGCTATATACCATCATACAGGCAATCCCAACACTGTCACACAACAATGTAAATGATAAAGGTACAATTTTTCCCTGAAAATGGCTAAAACTCTATTTGTTTGAAGTGAAACTCAGAAGTACTACAAATTATCCTTCACTTGAGTTGCAGTTACTCCTATGACCCTAAATAATAGGTGTTGGAGAATGGTTTTCTACCAAAACCAGCACAGTCAGACCCCTCTCATTTTTGTACCATCTGAATACCCTCACAAATTGTGAGCCACGTTTAAAAAAAAATAAGAATGTGCTGTCAACTCCATCCTCTAATCCACTAAATTGGTTTGATTTTGCCAGGCTGTTACTTGTTACTACAGGCAATGTACGGTCAGTGTATTTTTATTTGATATTTCTCATCCTATTGTAGACTACTGCAGTTCTAGAAAGAGAATAAAGGCTTATTATCCATCCTGACACCTACACACTGTGATGACCGATTCACTCAAATCTTCTATGTAACTCTTTCTATCTATCTTGGCAAAGGCCAACAATTCCTTTAGGCTACTAGTCCAACCATTTGTAAGTTGTCTCAGCTAGTAATGCCTAGGAATTGATATGACAGTATTGGTAAATTCCTGGGTCTTGGATTCTTAAAGTTTTGCAATGAAACATTACCACAAAAGCCCTTTGTTTTTCTGCTGTTCTGGCATATTTTCCTTGTAGATGCCTAAATCTACTATGGTTGCTTGTACTCCCACCTGCACCACCACCAGCTGTAGGTAAGGAGAACATTTCTGTTCTGGAAGAGGGAGGTCTGTGAGCTGTTACTGTACTTGCAGAAGATGACTCCTGCTGCTCCTGACAGTAATACTTTAGAATTCAGTTTTGCTCCTCTCCTTTACTGGCATGCAGGCAGATCTGAAATCCTTTAAGCACAGAAGCCCATAAAAACTGCTCAGATGGCCATTTCATACAAATGTCTTGGAATCATAGAATCATGGAATCATTTAGGTTGGAAAAGACCTTTAAGATCATCAAGTCCAAGCAGTCCAGACCATCTTTAATTACACTTGGAAAGTTCTGCACTACTGTACTTGAGGGGCCACCTTTTTCTTTCTGAAAAACAATGTTTATATACTGCTGACATTAAAAGGGAAAGAAAATAAACTATAACCATATTTTCTAGTGGTTACTTCCACCCCATTTCCCGGAGTAAATTGTTCCTCATAACTGAAGCTGGATACTGGAATAATAGAACACAGAACAGGTCACCGCTGTTATTGCTGTGCGTATTTCAGTGGCACACAGAGACCCTGCTAAGGCCAGGACCCCACTACACTGTACTAACATGAAGTAGGACAATTTTATGTCCTAAGCTTACTTTCTTAATAAGGAAGGCAAATGATAGAAGACAGTGCCAGAAAAGACTCTAGGTCCCTTGACTCCCTATGTGTGTATTATCTACTAGACCAGGCTGCTACTTTCAGAGATACACATTTATGTGCTGTACAAAACGCACTGTCCCAGAAGCTTGACCAGTGGTATGGATTTGACTTGCACAGGCATCAGCATTCACCCAGCGCTCTGTTTTACATTCATAGCTATTTCAAGACTTTAGTCCTTTCCTATCAACCTAATTTACTTTGTTCCTTCAACCCCTTTCAAAATTCCTACAGATGCAGCATCTTACAACAAGACAGAACACATTACAAGCAGCACATTTCATGGGAGATACTGTTCTGGTGACACTGCAGAGATGCAATGAGAGCAGAGCAGGGGCAAATGGTTTTTTCCCTAGAGTCGTCCACCTCATCAGCCCACAAGTCAGGTTTATGGATCATCAAGCACTGAGGGTTTAATTAAGGTTTTGATTAAGGTCTAATCCAGCTATCCTGCTGTGGCTTCATAGATACCTAAATTCCAGAGTGGTTCAGTAAGGTGCAGCTACTGGAAGTGTGGTTTCTTATTGTGCCAGCTCCTTGTGGCTTTAAACCTTTTAAATTCCCCCTTGCTTCTGATTATGGTTAAAGCTGGCCCTGCAGGGGCTGATAACTTAAGGACAAGAATTTTGAAATTAAAAATTAATTTCGGTATAGAGGGCTGCCATTTGTACTCCAGAGTTAAATCTTCCAGAACACTTCTTCAGCTGAAAGTGTTTCTGTTTAGCTACTTTGAGCTGGAAGATGGTTTGCAAGTGATTCCAACAGCCTAAACTCAAGTTTTTGCCAGTCATAACTGAAGAGGAGAACATTCTCAAAGTGCTAAGAAAGTGAAAAATAATCCACTTACCAGCAAGCATTCATATGTAGTGCTATACACTCCTAGAGCAATATTCATATGTACTTTAAATCCTCTTAATGATCATGCAAGGTAAGTAATAAATTATGTTATTTACTTTACAGATCTGGAAAGATTAAGGATATGCCTTTGGCATCACAGGTACCCAACAGCACAGCTGAGGACTGACATTTCTGGACTGACACCCTGTGACAATTCCATCAGACCATGCAACCTCTCACAGTTGGAGACAGGAGGGACGAAGGGAGAAACAGCAACGGCAGCTAAGTGAAAGATACCATGGCAATCTTTCACCCAGCAATTTGTGCACAGATATATTATTTGAAAACAACAAGCCACTAGATATGAAGTGACCTTCTCTGCGGAGGCAACACACTGAAGAACATCCAGGGAAGAATGATTATTGAGTGCATGTAGCTAAGCAGGACTGATAATACATGCTTTTTCTATAAAACCTATTTCACAAACTGTAATTTGAAACATTCTTTATTTAAAGCAGCAATTACAATATTGCATTAAAAAAATGTAACTAACAGGAAAAAGAATTCAAAAGTGCCGTAGACAGGAGGCAAAGACAGGTATTTATGTGAGATTTCCAACTGGCAAGGCATAAAGAGCAAAGTCCTGCAATGGAAGTGGTACCACAATCATCAGTAGCTGTGTCACTGCACAGGACAGAGAAGCATCTGATACCACAACAGGCGGAGAAGAGAAAGCAAACAAAATGGCCTAAGGAGAGCTGGGTCAAATACCCGGGGGCAAGAAAAAGGCAGTGCAAGTGTAAATGAGGGAGGGACAAAATGAGAGAAGCAACACAAGTAATGGGAGGTTCAGCCACGGCCAGACGATGGGAAAGACC